TGTACTATGGTTATGTAAGATAGGACCTTGGGGGAAGCTGGGTGATGGGTATACAGGAACTCTCTGTACTATCTTTGTCACTTTTCTGTAAATCCAAAATTATTCCAAAAGAAAATTTTTATTTAAAAAATGCATAGAAAAATAAGGGCAAAAGACAGCCAAGAAAGGACAGAAACACGGAGTTTCATAATAAACATAGGGTTTTGTACCTACTAAAACAAATGTCCTATGTTGATGATAATTTAAGAGGGGGGAATTTTAAAGCAGGAGGTAGTAGCTCACATGCAATAAAATAAGGTAAATAAGTAAAAATGACAAAGCCTAAAGAATAATGGGCAGTGGATAAAGGTGTCTTCTAGGGTATTACAGATGGAATTATATGCCGCCGTAGCCTTTTCTGAAAAGCAGTTTTGCAATAAATGACAGAAGCCATAAGTTGATAGCCTTTGACATGGTAATACCATTTTAGCAACCTGTACCAAAGCAATGATTTAAAAGAAAAAAAGCCACCTATTTTTATGAAGCTGTAACTCTGCCCTGTAGTACTGGAAATTGTTCCTATGGCCACTGGGTGCCTAGACAGATTATGGTGCTATTAATTAAATGGAATATTATAATGGAATTAAGAATGATAAATCTGAGAATTGTGGAAAGGAATACGTGAAGTAATTTTTTAAGAGCTCAGTACATGCAATGTAGTATCCTAGATTAGGTCCTGAAACGGATATTAGTGGAAAAAATGGGAAAATGTGAATGAATAAAAAGCCTATTTTAGTTAATAATACGGTATCAATATTAAGTTTTTAGTTTGGATAACTGTCCGTGATTATGAAGATGTTACTATTAGGGAAACGTGTATGGGAACTCAGTATCTTTGTGACTTTTCTGTAAATCTATAATTATTTTAAAATAAAAGTTAAAGAGCTCAGAATTATATACAAACTCATGCACATACTGCAATCAACTAAAAAAATATTTACTGTATATAAAGTTAGGTAGGCTCATAAAACACGGTCAGAGTTATCAAAATACTTTGCCTTTGCAGGAGTGGGGTGGCATGGGGGGAAGAGTTCATTTATGTTGCTACTTAGATGTTTCACTGAACAACTGATTATCAAGATGCTCTGACTCAGAGTGGCTGGGGAGAATTTTGAAGGATTCATATCCTGATAGTCTAAAAATGACTTCTATTTTTCCAGCATCTAAGTTTCATTGAGGGAGTAAGGAAGACATTTTCTATAATAATCTTTTTAGTAATCATTCCTCAGGGACTATATTTAGAATTCCATCGTACATGAAATTAAATATTTTTGTTTCCTAAAGAAAGGATACCTTCTGCTTCTTTGCGGGGCACTCAGTTCCTGAGTCCTTGGCAAATTGAAAGAATGGAAAGGGTTAACTAAAGATACCCTTGAGATATCTTTAGATCTATCGAAAGTTTGAACATCTGGGAACCTAGATCTTGCCACTTCTGCCTGCTTAGGTGCCCCAGGCAGCATTAAACAGGCGAGGAGTGACTAAGGGGGGCAGATGGGAGAGGCCAGAGGGTGGTGGCGATGGGGAATACCTCCAAAGTGGCCTCATCAAAGTCAGCTCTAAACCAATGGACTTGTTCCAAATTTGTAAAAAATAATTTCGTTTAGTGCTGTTGGAAACAGCATTGAAGGATCACCTTAGCCTTCCCTGCAGGGTTTCCCTTGGCCCACTTCCATCAGGATGTGGAGAGACTTGCCTCCAGAGAAGGACAGCAAGACTCAATTTCCCCAAAGAGACGCCATCTGTGTGGGATATCTAAAGTGGGCAGCTCGGCCAATCGCCAGACACACAGATGAGCTCCACTCCAGCCCCCGCTTCCTCCTGTTCTGGCCCAACTTTTATCATAAGCCTGGTTGAACTTACACCACTGAGGGATGGTCTGAAAAAACCTGCAGCCCATTCATTCCACTTCTAGAGTCTCGGGTTCATCTCTGCCTCAAGTCAGACCGGAAAGCTGGTCCACGCTGTCATAATCCTCCACCAATTTACTTGAAATGGGTTTGTCCTTTGCTTCCAATGAGCAAAATGCAAATTTCTCTGTGTCTTTACATAAATCTGGAGTATTGTTGAGCACACTGATCACATTGATCGATGGTGGCCCCTGAATGAAGTTCCAAGTGAGACTTTTCTTTGGACAGTCTAGTGAGCATGGGCTCTGGAGCCAAATGGCCTGGATTCAAATCCTGACTCTACTATTTAAGTAGCTGTTCAACTTTCTATGCCTCATTTTCCTCATCTGCAATAATGACAGTCAGCCCCTTGAACTTTTGTGAGGGTGAGAGTCAACAGCAATGAAGTCTTTAGGCCCAAGCTGGGCAAAAAGTTAGCACTCAATAAATATTCATTATTACAATTATTTTATAACAGAGCACTAGAAAAAAACATTATATTCCATAAGGAACTGAGATGCTTTTACCTCATGCACAGCGTGATTCATAGAAAGCGGGGTTCTGAGACCCTTTTCCCCTCCCAACAGACTTAGAGTCCTCAAGAGTGACAGTGACTTTCTATAGCACGGGGCACCTTCAGAATCTAGGGTGGGATGGGGGCAGTTAGAAGCACGTGTAGTTTGCAGAGGTTTTTTCAAGATTCTGAGATGCCCTTACAGGAATTCATGCCATTTACCATAAGAGTCCTCAGTATAAACAATCACCTGGAGGTACAAAAATGGACCCAAAGGTCAATTATCTTAACTACGCCAAGTCCTATGCTCTGAAAAAAAGTCCTATGCTTTTTCCTGCTCCCCAGTCTGGTCTGTCCTAACTCCATGTACTGTCCCAGTACAGACAGATGCACTGATTCTTTCCTTATGCTTTCTGTGACTTGTAAGTGCTTTCATAAGTCTCCTCAGATCTTTTATAGAACAAAGAAGGATAAAAAATAAATAATACAATACACATGCTCTTTTGTTTAGAACTAAGTACAACTTTAGTTACTTCTAAGAAAGCTGAGCCTCCTTATTAACATAAACAAATTCCTAATAGGTGCTAGAATAGACACGTTGGGAAGAGAACAGTGGTAGATCAAGAATTCAGTAAGCAATACAACTGAGGGGGGAAAAGAGAAAGCATCCTCTTAGGTAATAAGCTCAGTTACCTCCAATTCCTGCTACCCATTCAATCTCCAGTTCCATGCATCACCCTTCCGGCCCACTCTTGTCAATTTCACACTCAGCTTTACAGACATCACTGGCCCAACCCTTCCGGCTGGAGAAAAATATTGCTGCTGCTCGCCCTTCCTCCTCCAGTCTTTGCTGATAGCCCTTATAAAACACTCGGTAGCAAAGCAAATTATTCACAGCCTGCCTTCCTGTTTTACTAAGGTCCCTTCCCTTCCTTGCCATAAGATTTATCTTTAAAGGCCAGGGTGTCAGAGGCCAACCAAGAACTTGTTTAGAACACCGCTGGCTCTGGAGCAGCCTTAACCTGATCAGGCTGTGCTTCGAAGGAAGCTGAGCAAACTAGGAGCAACGGAGAAGCCCTGGGATTCTTACAGAACCAATGGCAATGTGGCAGCTTCCGGCCAGGGAGCCAAGGTTTTGAACCTGCACGGTGTTCCCCACTTAACTACTGCTACAGGAACCTATCTCCTGTTTTATTCATAGACACAGATCTACTTTGGGATTCAGAAAAATATCTAGGTTCAGCTACATAATTTGCAAATGAAAATGAAATATGCAAAATGAAAACACATGGCCCCATGTTCAAAAAGCAGGGGGGAAAAAGCATTAAGACATGAAGCTTTATCCTTTCTTCTGCATTCTCGCAACTCCTAAGGGCGTTTTTTGCTTGTCATTTAATGTCACGCTCTCTCGGGCACGGGGGTACTTACAGGGTGAGTGCAGACCATCACAGGCTGCCCACCCCTACAGACCATCAGCTGCTATGCCGATGCACCACGTCCTGGCCACGGGTGGGGAAACTGAGCCAAGAATCCCCCTTTCCCGTGGACTCACCACCCCAGCCCACAGCAAATGGATGACCCTCTGTTTGCAACACCTGTGCCGGGACACGCTAGGTACCTGGATTGGGAGTGGGCGGGGCCTCACTGAGTCACCTGCGAACTCACTGCTGTGCTGTCCGCCTGAGCTGAGCAGGCCACTACTTTGTCCCCTCCTGGGACACTATGGAGTTTGTGTACCTGGCATCAACTCTCCCCAGGCTCACACCTAGCCCCCTACAGGGGTGGAAAGCAACAGTAACTGCTGGGTGGGGGGCAGGGATGGGGAGGGTGGCAGGGCCTGAGGTGCCAAGCAGCAGGGGAACGGGCAGCTGAGAAACACTGCGCAGGTAGGGAGGTGGCAGGACTGTGCGTAAGCCAAGGCTCCAACACCCCGGGGCACACACTCCGTTGCCCCACTGCACCTCATCTACAGAGCACAGAGTCAAAGATAAAAGTATGCAGAACATCAAGAGAGCAACTGCACGAAAAAACACGGGGCCCTGATTCTCCGCGCAGGGCCCCGTGCAACTGTACTGGTCGCATACCCGTCAGCTGGTCCTGCTGGTTCCCCACCATGAAACAGGCCTGTGTTTAGGACAGGAATGAGGAGGAACTTTCGCTTTGCACAGGTGCGAGGCTGCCCCGGAGGAGGTGGGTGTGAGGGGTCTGTGGCACCTGTTCACCGGCCCTCCCATGGCACTGCAAGGCAGAGCCTGGCTTATCTTCAAAGGCTTCTGAAGCCCACCTGTTCGAACGATAATTTTAACTTATTGCGATGCACAAAGAACTGATGTAGTGAGATACAAGCAGAGTCGTGATGATTACAGAAATCCTCCCAAACCTAACTTGGCCGAGGGGTTTACTTTAATTGTTGGGGAGATTAGGAAAGAGAGAGGACTGAGGACTAATTCCTTATTAAGTGGCTCTGGGTTGATGGTTTGTAAAAAACTGGGCCGTTATCCAAAGTCATTATTTTGATGCAAGAATATTAACCTGGTCGCTGAAAGCACTTTCTTACAAACCTTAGCTTCTGGGTCACTGTTGATACTACAAGAATCATCAGCAGCAGCATGTGGGGCATTTCTAGAAAGAAAAACAGAAAATTGGACTTAGAATTCTATTGCAATCTCTAGCTGCACAAAGCCACTCATTACGGCAGGTGCTCTGAATGCCCTACCTGAGTTTCAAGGATGCATAGCGCAGTGTTGCTCCTTCAAACTCTTTTAAACTGGGGTCCGGGTTGACTGTGGCTGCATGCAAATCCTAGAGGAAAAGAGATCCCTGTTAATGTAGAAAGGGGAATGACCCATTACATGGCCTCAAATATCAAAGGGGAGAGAAGTCCTCCCAGCACGAGGCAGAGAGTGTATGTGAGCTTAGGCAGAAAAAGGCATGCATGGGCTGCTGATGCCGGTTTGGTGCAAGTGCCGCTTCTTACAAGACAACAGGAACCTGGGGCAATCAGCCTGAAGTCATTCACAATGGGAGACACATCAAAAAAGGCGACACGTGTGAGTCCCACAGCCCTAGCCAGAAGCCCCATCACTCCATCCCTGCAGAATGCATGATATTCACAAAGAAGATGCAGCCACAGCCATGCAAAAAGGACAAAATATTAAATAAGCTAAAATCTGACAATATACTTGCCTTCCAAATGTCACTATTAATCTTTCCCCCATTCAGAACAGCAAAATCACTCCATGGCTGTTTCTAGACATATAATTATTCACAAGGAAAAAGCACATTGATTTAAAAAAAAAGAAAAGGAAAGAAAGAAAGAAAATAATAAAGGATAGAAAAGGAAAGGAAAAAAAAAAGAAAACACACACACACACACACACACACACACAAGACACTGTTGTTAGCATTGATATTCACAGGATGGGTTAGGGAACAAATTCACTCTAACGGCAGCATGTGAGCTCGCTCTCCCTTGATCTAGATCAACACCTGAGGCCTAGGGCAGGAGGAAAGAGAGGGCGCTTCAATTACTTACCAAAACAAATGGCTGAACGTTATTACCAGACAGTGAAGTTATCGATACTTTCTAAATGTGGTCTTAAAAGCACACACTATGCATCAAAGTATTAAATGCCCAGCGGTCCTAATTTCACTGGCACCTTTTTCTCTCCTATTGACCAAACAGAACTGTTTTCTTGAGGTGGAGGTGGAATTAGGGATGATGCTTGTCAATGTGCTGGATGGAAACGGGAATGTCCACGGCTAAGGGCATAAAAAAGCTGGGGGCCAAATTATTTTCACTTAAAAGAAAAAAATGGCAATGATGGAGGGCAAAGAACCCAGCCTGACCTCATCTTGCTGAGATTTAATCTAATAAAAAATAGCTCTAGACAATCTAATGTGAATTCCTCTTGCTCATAAAAAAAGCATACTTCCTCGCCACCCAAGCCTCTTCACAAACTAATATCCGATCACGAAATGCTTTTCTAGGCATAGTTATAGAACCAAGTGCAAAGCCTTGCCTTGCTGGGCAACCTCTGACAATAGACCTTCGAATCTAAACAACCCCTTCCTTTATTCACCTCGGACAACAATGGAAACCATTTTTTTTCCTTTCTACTGTGTTGACTGAATATTCAAATATTTTTCAGGTGACATGTGGGGAAATAAATGATACTAATAAGACACCCATAAAGTTCATCCTTATGAACTTGTTCCATTTGTCAGGAAAATCTCTTTTCTTGAATACTAAATCAATAAGAGAAACTTTTCCACTAAGTACCTTTACAACTAAAGTTCTTTGAAAGTGAGATGGTAGTACTGACCCATAACTTCTGCACACAGTACGATTTTTAAAGCCACTCAAAGCAAGAAGCAGCGAAGATCAAATGTCCCAGGTGTTGAAAAATGCATTTATTTGGCTCTGAAGGCCTCTCTGAGGGCATGGTCATTGAAAATTTGGATCCATTATCACTTCTACACAGTTGGTGTCATTGTTGCTTTCTTTGCTGGACTAGGCACCCAACCTGCAGTTTTTCAAACTGAAACAGAACTTGGACCACTGTTGTTTATTTATTTTTTTAAAATAATCTCTTTTACTGAGCACAGAGCAGGAACGCTGTTCAGCCCCTCACCTCTTTCCTCACTCCATCTCCAAAAGCAGTGTTCAGCTTTTACTGAGGAGAAAATATTAACAGGAAAATCTTAATCTGTCAGCTGTGGCGACCTATGAACCCCCTGAAATGGAATGTGGGGTTTTGTGCAAGTGCATTTTATCCCCAACTTTTCTGTTCTCAGAAGGGCCATGACCGAAAAATGTTTAGAGTTACCATTATAGGGGGATTAATAAACACTCAGGATAAGGACTTGAAATATCAAGTACGAAATAAAATTTTAAGCTAAAATTTCTTTTAAAAAAAGCAAACAAGCCTATTTGGTCCCAAATTGTCTTCATCATTTACACGTGAGCATTATTTGGTTTTCATTTAGGTTGAACTTTGTAAATGTAATCAGATGGTGAATTAGGAAGATTCAAGATAATTGTGCTCTTGTGAAGACATTTTTAAAAAGGCATGTGTGTCTGACAAAGGGAATCTGATATCAGAAATTATACCCAAAAGACACCGTGTTAGGACTACAAAGAGTGAAAGAAGAGCATTTTTAAAAACAAGTATTCAGAAAAGGCTTTGGCATTTTATCAAAAGCTTCTCTATACGTGTGTGTTTAAATTTTGTTATGTATTTACTCTCTGGATGTAGGAGTCCCTGTAAAGTAAAAGGTGATGATAGTTCTGAGACTGCATGAATCTAGCTCTCATGCTACGGAGACATGAGTCAGCTGGCAAACTTCCAACAATCACCTTTTACAGATTTAAATACACAAAGGCCCTACACCGTGATTTTGCAAAATCTTAAAATAACATAAGTATTCCTGAAGAAACCCTTTAGCACAAAACTCAAGCAAATAAAAATGGAAACTAACATTACATGCTATGAACAGGCCAAAGACCTTTTTTCCTTCCCATGTTTAAAATTTTCATTGACATTGAAGATGAGAAACTTTCTCCTCCATTTAAGTGACTATATTTTTTTTAAAGTCAAGGGCAATGAAGGACAAAACAGTTTGCCCTAAATGTTAAGAACGATATATTCTATTCATCTATTATTATTTTTTTTAATTAAGAAAAGAGAATACAACATTTTAGCTAATCATTTAAATAAAAAAGACACCAACACAGATGCTTGGGTTGTACAGAAAGTCTGCAGTCTGGGTGATGGGAGTGAGAGATGAAAGAAGAGACAGAGAAAGACAATAAAAGAGGAAAAGGCAGGCGAGCAACATGCCCCAGGGAAGACAGACACAAAGAGAGGTAAAGGAGAGTAGAGGACGAACAGGGACCATCTTCCATGGGTAACAACCTCCAATCGGTCATCTCTCAGGCAATGCAGCTAAAGCCTTGCACAGCCTGAGAGATGGTGGCATCAAAGTTATGGCTGGGGACACATCCTCCTGGTGCTTGTCTTGACCTTGGCCAGGCTGCAGCACCCCTTATCCTGATTACGGCGATGACACTCAGGTTCTTGAGAGCCCTGGAGCCCTAGCTCCTCAGAGACAGTGGGGACTGACCCAGCGCCTGGAGCACGGCACCTGCCATAACCCTTCATGACCTTTCAGCATGGCACCCTCATGACCTACTAAGGGAATCAATCTGACTGGATAACCTTGACTACTGAGAGTTTTCTTCTTCCATATTTTTCTTCTGGGATCTTAGAAGACTTCCCACCGGCATGTGGACAGAGTGAGGTCAAGAACATGAGCCCTTAGCCCAGGGGCTGGCTGCCTGAAAGTGCCCAGGAATAGCAGTGTCCTTATCTCTACTAAGGCATTTGTAAGAATAAAAAGTTTGAGAGCCTAGGGACTACAAAGGGTTATGAATTATGCTTCGTAATCCTCTTTTGTCAAGAATTGAGCCTTGGTATGTGTAGCCTTGATGATAAACAGCAGAGTACCTGGAATTCTGGAATTCCAAGGAATAGGCCAGTCAATGTTAATAAGCACTGTATCCATACATGTGTGTATATTTTTTCCTTCTTTTAAAACTGCTTCCCGTGTTTTGCTGGGTGCAACACTATCAAAAGAACAGTTATGGTTTCTCATGCAAATAAAATCCAGAGAAGTTAAAAAAAAGAATCTAACTGGAAGACAAACTGACAAATGCTTGTGCAATTAAATTAGTCTCTGTCAGCAGTAGCACTATTTAGAAACTAGAGGAGAATCAGGAGACCTGGGTCTCTACTGCTGGCTCTGCCGCTACAGCAAGTCATCTAAGAGCTCCCTCCGCTACAAAGCTGGTTTATTCCTTCATTCAGCAAACATTTAATGAACATTGACACGTACCAGGCACTGTGCCAGGTGCCGAGGACACAAGACGAGGCGGGCCGGTCCTGACACCCCCCAAAAGGGAGGCGGACGTGCCTCAAGTAAGAATACTACAAAGAGACACAATGGAATAAAGGTTAAAGGGCTTTCAAAGCAGACGGGTGAGAACAATCCTTCCCAGGAGATGCTAGCGGGAAGCCAAAGAATTGAAGGGGAAGTGACATATAAATAAAAACAGGGAGACTAGATTTGCTAGAAGACCAGCTCTTGTACTCACTCAGAATTTCCTGGAACGCTTATGATAAAGGCAGAGTCTCTGGCCCTACCCTTAGAGAGTCTAGCTCAGTGGCCTGGGGTAAGAATAAGGAAACTTAGCATGCTCTACAAACCCCAGAGGACATCCTGGCCACCGTCCTTGGCTCCCAGGCTGAGAAATACTGCAGTAGCATTCACTAAGCCCTTCTCAAAGCTTCTTGCCAGCTCTAAAATGTCATGATTACTTATCAGGTCAAGAATTTCAGTAAAATGATGACAGACTGGCCCCTTTATGTTGTCATCTTATTTCGAAATGTACGTGAAAATCCGCAGGTTCTAACGCAATACGTGGGTTTTGCCCCTCCTGGGGAGTTAGCTGCTCAGGCCCCTCCCAGACTCCAGAGGCAATGCAGCAAGAACAGAGTGAATTGTGATCAAGAAGAGATCACGGAAAAAAAAAAAAAAAAAAAAAAAAAAAAAAAAGAAGAGATCACGGGTCCTGAGAACAATTCGACCTTCCCTTGCTTCAGACCCACTTGGTCCTCCATACTCTTACCCTTAAGGAACTTGGAAACACCTTCTGCTGGAAAGATTCTAAGTAAGACTTGCTTATGGGCCAATAGTTATTCATTACAATATTTTGTGTAGCTCCCTCTTCTCTCTAAAATTCAACATCTAAGTAACTTGGAACAAACTGATGGACTGGGGGGAGATCATCTTTGGGCCAAATTTCAGCAGCAAATGCTTCCCGGCCAGTTTATAAACTTTCAAAAAATACTGCTGGTGTATGCAGAGGGAACATTATGTGCTGCGCCTAACACTTCCCTGGTGAACTTTGGAATGTGAAATGTAAAATTTTCAAACTGTAAGGAAGCCTTCCGTCCTAAACTTTTGTGAAGCTGAGTCAACAGATTTGGCACTTACTTTTTTTTTTTTTTAAGCCAGCTCAGGAAAAATCTGTGTAAAATATGCGTTTCTAACGCGACATATTACAAGTTTCTTCTCGCCCTTAACATTTTGCTTTCTCTCATGTTTCCAAATTAGTCAAAATAGATTCTATTTAGGGACCAAAGAAATGGCATCAACGATATAATCATTTCTCTTCAACTGGTATTAGCACCTGAGACAATGTTATCAAGAGAAGTCATTTTCTAGAAGGTGCTGCCTATGTCACCACCCTCCCCTGGAGTGAGATGAAGCCATTCAAGGCTCTCCAAGCCTCATAGCGAAACCTGGGGTAGGGGCAGGGGCCAGCAGACCTCCATTCAGGCTTGACACCTAGGTATTAGGTGTGTGATCCTGGGCAAGCTCCCTCACCTCTCTGTGTGCGTTGTCAAATGTAAAAAGGTAATGACAACTGTCGTACAGATGCATAGGGTTTCACGAGGAACAAGGAGACAAGGCATGAAGCTGGCGCTCTAAACACTCGATTACCCTTAGTGCTTCCGCTTTAATATCCGTGTCAGCACCTGCCGGACCTGGGAACGTAGCAGTCTGTGTCTTTCCCCACCTCTCCCCTTCCTCTCCTCGCTACCTATCTGCTCATCCCTTTGCCCCTAGGATTTTAATGTATTGCCTTGGTTCTTTGACTTAGTGGATGGCCTGATGTCCAGGGGGAAAAACGTACATGAAGCAAACAACCGAAAGGTTGATCCAAAGAACATCTATCCCATTGGTCTATTTAAAGTGCTGGGGGACTTCCTTGGTAGCGCAGCGGTTAAGAATCCGCCTGCCAGTGCAGGGGACACAGGTTCGATCCCTGGTCCGGGAAGATCCCACATGCCACAGAGCAACTAAGCCTGTGCACCACAACTACTGGGCCTGCGCTCAAGAGCCCGCGAGTCACAACTACTGAAGCCCGTGCGCCTAGAGCCCGTGCTCCGCAACAAGAGAAGCCACCGCAATGGGATGCCCAGGCAATGCCACGAAGAGTAGCCCCCGCTCGCCGCAACTAGAGAAAGCCCACGCACAGCAATGAAGAACCAACACAGCCAAAAATAAATAAATAGAATTAATAAAGAAAAATAAAGAGCTGGGAATGAGTCTCTCTCTGAAACTTCAAAAGACTACACATTTGTTAACACGTTTCTCGGAGGGATAAGGCTTTGTCCAACATGATGGCAACAGAAGAGAGGAATGGAACCATCCTGCCACCCTGACGCCACCTGCCTGGTTACTCAACTCGCTGAGCCTCGGTTACCTCTTCTCTTAAGTGGGAAGCATAATAGCTGTCATCTCTGCCACGTGAAGAGTCTTGAAGGGGACAAATGAAGTGATGTTTATGAAAATACCCTGAAAGCCACAAAAAGTCATGAAGAGCAGCTGGGAGGCTGACCAGTGGGGATGTGATGGAAACTCTGAACTCCAGGAGAGCAAGTGAGGCAGGAGGCCATAGGACACAGTCGGAGCCTGGGAAGGGGGGCTAGGCAGTGAGCGGGAGCGGGGTAGAAGCAGGCATGGACGGGGCAGAGCAGGCAACAGCGGGCATCAGAAGGCGGCTCAGGGATGAGAAGAGGACTCTGCTTCCCAATAATTATCCCCAGGGCCAGCAGCCCACCTGTGCTGCGTTCTTCCTAAGACTTTTCGCAGAAAACATGAAAGTGAAAGTCTACCATATTAATCAAAGAAGTAAAAATCCGAGCCACATAAACCTCGGGATGCCCTCCTTGGGCTTCACCCCACCCACGCCTCGGCCTCAGGAGGTGGGCTCCGAGACAAACTTCATTTCTTCCACATACAGAGGACAAGAGATTCATTGAACAGAAATGGTATCTCAAAGTTAGTCTGATCTCCTCACCTCTGGACCAAGAGAAAGCAGGTAGGCTGAGATCTCAGAGCCAGGGAAGCCAAGTGAGAAGAACTCTGACCTGGAATTCAAGGAGGGTTCGGGAACCCTGCGTTCTAGAGCCAGAGTGGCTGCTGGTCACTGGTCTCCCTGTGCCTCGGTTTCCCTGTCTGTAATGGACAGATACTGGTGCCAATGCCCCCTTCCCAACAGGGCATTCTCTGGCTGCAGGGCACTCCCTGGGGGTGAAGATGGTAAAGGGTTACAATAAGGGGGATTGAGCCCTGGAATGGAGAAAGATTCTAACAGAGATGCCGAGAGCCAAGCAGTACAGGTGAAGAAGAAAGAGGGGCTCTGTGCCTCAGTGAGAGCCCAGGGGCGTCCTGGCCCGCTCAGCCCCTGGGAGGCCGCTCTGCGGTCCAGGGAGAAACGCCAAGAGGTAACTGGGCTGGAATGGAAGAGGGCTCCACTTCATGCTGAGCTCCACGAGGAGCAGCCTGTGTTGGTTCATCTTTATCCCCCAGCACACCTCACATAAGGCGAATAAATCGACTGAATGGGATGTGCCCTGAGAGGACGAATATTATGCTAATAAAAAGTTATCAAAATCACCCAGTGATAAGCAACAAAATCCTAAGTGATTCAGTGGAACTGAAGCACATATCTGATTATCAGGGCCAAGTACCAACAAACCAAGGCCCTGGCCTACCAACGGGGCCTACAGCTCGCCTCAACCCATCACTTGAAAGATGGAGAATCTGAGGCCCAGGTGGGGTGAGATGCCGAGGCCCAGTAAAAGCAGGA